AAAACACTTTGTCAGATAAGTTGTATTCCCGCAGAATACTCTGAAGCAATAGGAAAATATTTTCAGCATTATGCTGTTCATTGAAATCACGAAATGCAAGAACACGTTTATGCATAATCCAATCACTATCTATCCAATGACAAGTAACACCCATATAAGACAAATTATGATAAGTTTCACTCCAAATATCAGAACAAATAGCAACACGTGAATTAAAATTGAGAAAAAAATTTGCCAAATTTATTTTTCCAGTTTTATACTGACGAATAATTTCTCGTTTAATTGTTTTTCTTGAAAAACCTCGTGCTTGAGAGTTTAATGCCTGTTGACAATAATCAATAAATCAAGTTTTTCAGAAAACATGTATGGCAAATTTTCTTCACAAATCATTTCGGCCATTTTTTGCTTATTTTGCTCGTCGCTATAAGAAAAAAGGCCGCCCTTACCTCTGTTAGCAAACCGAGAAATTTGGGTTTGCACTTCTTGTCGTCCCTTCTTTTTTGCCTCGTATTTGGCGTACTCCACGGAATGCCTCGACCTTAGGTGTTTTTCCGGACCTCCATAACCGCCGGAAACTCCCATTTTTATGACGGTGCCGCAATGTTTACAAGTACCATAAACTACGCCATCTTTTGTGTCTTTGTCAAAATGATAAACAAATAAATCTGATTTATATTTTTTTTACCTTTATCCGGACCTCGAGAGGTCTCGGGCTCACCTGCCTCCACGCCGACGTCGTTGCTCTGCGGTGTAGGCTCCTCGTCCCCGTCCAGATTATCCAGATGTGCTTCATCAAGATCTTCGAATACACTATCAAGAGTGGGGAGATTTCCTTCCCCTCTACCAGAATAAATCTGGTCGAATTCTTCATCCGTCATAGCGTCCCCAATTAAGTGATCGGGGATAGTAGGAAAGGAAGAGACGGAGTGTCTTCCTCGAGAAACGCGTGAGGTCGAACCGTCGGAGGTGGCTTTAGCTTTGCCTCTCCTCAAACTTCGGTTCACGGCGCCCATATCCACGGACCTTCTACCGGACTCTCTCGACATTTTGATATATATTTTTTTGATATTAAAAAAATATATTACTT